TTGTAGCGTGAGGAGGAGATGGCCCCTTAGTTAAGGCTACCTTTTTCACTTGTGCCAGGTAGGGAGGAACTTACTTGGGGTATAGAGCTCATGGTAGTAGCAACATGAAAAGTATGTTGTTTGTACCCTCTAAATTTTGGTTCTTCAGGACAGAAGAACCCTAATTGCCCTACCCTGCTTATGATTTTGCTGGGTAACATTGCCTATCTCTGGACCAACATCCACGTGGACAGCCAGATGGTCTCTGTTAATCCCTAGTTAGCTATAAAGAGCTAAGATAGGGATTCTGAGTTTTGTCGTGCTATCATTAATGACCATGGGAGTCTAATGAACCAAGTTTCTCAGCCGTCAGGGTCCCTAGGTTATAGGACCAGCCATGTTAAAATTCATAGTAAATGTGTTGCACTTTGGTGGTGATATCAGGAACTTGATCTATATTGCATGCTTCCTGGTCATTCTGGTTTCCCATACCCCACACCAAATAAACAAAACTTATTCTTTCAATAAGCCAATAGTTGATCTCCACACAAGGTATTATTGACAACTGTGGATGCTGTAACACCAAATCTTGGGGCATCCCTGACCAATCCAACAAATTGCTTGTAGAGAGACTAGGTCTTTTCAAACATTGGGATATAAGAGAGGAGGGCATTAATCTGTTGAGCCTACTTTCCTCTTAGAGCAGAGGTCTCCAAAGTGGGGTATACAAGATGATTCATTGGAATGGAGGAAGAAAATTCTAGAATGAGGAGAGTAGCGCCACATTGCTGAATGCATGCAGCCATGACTTGCCTCTGCTTCTCTCTTTCCCCTGGTGTATCTAGCATGGGTTTCTCTGACTTAGAAGGTTAGCTACCAGGGCCCTTCTTGGCAGGCAGGCTGACAATAAGTCATTTCCCTCTCAGCCTTCTGCCCTCTCTCTCCAGTCCCCATTGCAAGAACACCACAAACTCCTTGCTCTGCCCAGGCTTTTCTCTCCCCCCTCCCTCAGAAGAAGAAAGGGACTGATGCCAGGCCCAGGAGGATCTGCAGAAAAGAGAACTGCTGCAGGGCCCAGATTTTGCTGCCACCAGTGGGCTTAGGGCCCGAGTAACTCCCTCAGATCAGCAACCCTACTCCTACTATCTCCCTCTCTTCCCCCTGCCCAACACATCAGAGAACACTGAAGTAAATGAAGGCAGCCACCCCCAGGGAAACAACGCCTTCCTGGGCATCAAGCTCTGCATCCATCTGCTTTGAAATGGAGCCTTTCTTCCCACCTGTACCAGCCACCCCTCTAGTGTGGGCCTGACTTCCAAAGACTGCTTCCTTTGACCCTGCCTCACCTCTTCCTTCCCTACACACATCAGAAAAGATGGAAATTTGCTACTCCCCTCTCCCCAAACCCCTTTTTATAATTGGTGGATGGAACTGAAAAATGAGTATCACAATTTAGCAGGTGATGGGTCCTGGGACTGGCTCTGGCTGAAGCCTGGATCTTATCTTAGTTACCACTCTGGTCCTAGTTCTCCTCTGTAGAAAGCACAGAACTGCCTCCTGTTCTAAGTTCCACCTGACTCTTAGGATAGTGACTGCCTATCAGATTTCAGTGATATAGCAAATTGTCAGGGGAGGAAATGCCTTACACCAGTGCAGGTTATAGTCTTATTCATTGATATTGGCAGACTTGTGGTTTGGGTGAGAATGTTCTTTGGAATTAAGAGATGTTTGAATCTTACTTTTGCCACTTATTAGATGCCTTGGCCCTCAGTTTACTTTTTTTTTAACGTGCACATGAATACATGAAAGTCTTCATATAATTTGTGTAGAGGCTTTTGAATTTCCTCAGAAAATTCATGAGAACTTCTGAATTTTCCTCAGCACATTTATGTAGAAAACAAGCATATTTAAGCAAATCACACTTGAATATAAAAGATTTTGCTTGCAGATGGTGTTTTTTAAGAAAAAAAGATTGTTCATTAAAACAGAGTACTGTTTTAATGTTTGTTTGTTTTTTTGCTGAGTGTTTTCATGGTTCCTAGACTATGCGTGAATTTCAGGAAGTGATCCTGCTTGGAAGGACCTTCCCTCAAGTAGATGTTCCCTTTCAAGGACATTAATGAGCCACATTTGTCCAGCTCAGATCCTTGGAGAAGCAAAATTTAAGTAGTTAAGTATATAATGTGAGTAGCTTAGTGATGCGCTGGTAAGAGTGGGGGCCTGAAGTCAGGAAAACTCATCTGCCTGAGTTCAAATCCAGCCTCAGACACTTATAAGCTATGTGATCACGGGAAAGTCACTTACCCCTGTTTGCCTGTTTTCTCATCTGTAAAGTCAGCTGGAGAAGGAAATGGCAAATCGCTCCAGTAATCTTGCCAAGAGAACCCCAAAATGGAGTCATGAAGAGTCAGACACAACTGGAAAAAAAAGGACTGAACAACCACAAAATATATAAGAGGAATCATGAGAAAGCTGTCCTTTGGCCTTGGAGCCAGAAAGATTTGAGTTTAAGTCCCACTTCTGACCCGTATTGCCTAGACAAGTTACTCATCCTTTCAGAATTCTACAAGTGTGCATAGAGGGCAGCTGATGGTGTAGTGAGGAGAGCATTAGACCTAGAGGCAGGAAGACCTGAATTTAAAATCAGTGTTAGACCTTTACCAGACCTTTACCTGGGCATGTCGCTTAATCTCTATTTGACTCAATTTCCTTCACGATAAAATGGGAGTAATACTGGTACCCACTCCCCAGGGTTGTTGTGAGGTCAAATGAGATAATAATTATAAAGCACTTAGCACAGTGCCGGGCACAAAGTAGGTGCCACATAAATGCTTATTCTCTTCAGTTCCCCCTCTATCTGTTTACATACACACACATACATACTATACATGCTATATTTCAATATAATTGGTTTCCTTTGTACTCTTACATATTATATATCATGCATTTGAAATATTCTGAGAAAGGGTACCTAGGTTTCACAAGTCTGCCAAAGATGTCCATGACATAACAAAAGTTTAACAACTCCTGCCCTAAGATTATGGTAGATAGGAAGGGAACAAGCATTTATTAAGTGCATACTATGTTCCAGGCATGTGCTAAGTGCTTTACAAGTATTATCTCATTTTATCCTCACAACAACCCTGGGATGTAGGTGCTATTATTGTTCCAATGAGCAAACAGAGGTTAAATGACTAGCCCAGGGTCACGGGGCATTAGTAAGTTCCTGAAGTGGGCTTTGGACTTGGGTCTTCCTGACTCCAGTCCCACCACTACTGTACAACTTAGCTCCCTCTAGCAGAAGCAGACATGGGGCTGACCATCATTGGTAAAGTGAATTTTCTTATCTAGGAGTTCCCTATATCAATATATTATATCACAGTTCTAGACCTCATATTAAGTATTTAATATTCTCAGTTCATTTAGTTAATGTAATTGGAATTTACCAATTCCTAATGTTCTGTGATAATTAGGTACTTTTGTGTGTCCCTGTCCCCGTTCAATAAATTGAGTGAAAATCCACATATAGAGTGAATGACAGATATGAAGGTATTTCTCTTTGAGAAGTGGGGGGGGAAATTCTAAAAAGGAAGGTAGATTCAGCATCCTGCCTTACTTAATGCCTCATTAATTAATTATTAAGTTGGAGTTGCATCTAGTACTCAAAAGAACATGGAGGTATTGTATGCCTTAAAAAAATGAGAATTCTGGAGAAAAACAGTTGGACTCAAAAGAGAATTCAAAGTAGGAATTTTGAACAAAAGTGGGAAATTGTTAGAATCCAGCAGATTAGAACTGAATTTTTAAAATGATAATCTAGGGGGAAATAAGAATTCCTTTAAAATTCTGAAACCACTGAAAAGATGCTTGGATTTGAAATCAGATGATTTTGGTTCAAGTTACTAGTCTTATGACCTTGGGTTATAGCTTCCCTCAATTTCTTTATATTCAAAATGAGAATTAATATCTCCCATGCTTTTCACTTCAGTTAAATCATAGATCCAGTCTTTATCCCCACCCCTTTTACTCTACAGGGCTCTGGAGGCTTTTACTCCACAGGACTGCTGTGAGTCTCTGGTGAAATAATGTATGTACTTCTTTTTAAAAGCAACCTGTATACAAAAGTACAATGTTATTGCTATGTGAAGTTATTACATCCCCAAACAGCAAGTCTCTCTTCGTTTAACATAAATATTGGATGTGAAAACTGAAGTCAAAGTTAGTATTTTACCTCCCTTATCCTACTCCCTCCCCCCAAAAAATAAAAGAATGGTTATGAGGAAATGTTGAAGACCAAATTTGGAAAATTATTTTAGAAGATATGCTAAATATTTGAAAGGTAAAAACATCTATGGGGAAAGCCTCAATATTTGAAATATTGTGAAATAACATGAACGACCTAACGAAATATATTTTTTAAAGTAAATTTAGGTTGAATATTAGGGAAATCTATAGTATTGTTATTTTTGTGGGCAGAGGGCTTGCTGTTTCTCCAACTTTTTCTTTATCACCTTAGTAGTACAATAATTGAGGTTTATCTTGTCAGATAGGCACTGGTTTTTCATATAGGCAATGTATGCAAGCTTGGTAATATTGGAACTAATGGAGAGATTAATTCCTGAGAATTCTCTACATCATTTCAATTACTAAACATTCTGCTGTGGGCTAGTGCCAAATGGTCTCTAGCTTAAAATATGTTTGATAACAGCAAAGTGGAAAAAGGATTTAAAATTCAGGGAAATTAGACTTAAATTGTATTTCATAAGGCAGTGAAATGCAAATCCTAAGGTATCTCTAAAGTAGTTTAAAACATTACAACTCCAGGTCCCTTTCACATATATTTCAGTGTTTCAAATACATTTTTAGAGAGTCTTGGGAGTGCTTGAATAAAACATTTTTGAAGTTCTTTGCAAAAAAATATATATGTGTGTTGACAGTAGTATGGCAATTGTGAAAACATGTGAAGGTCGCTTCAGCAGATCTTCAACAGATGGCTTTCCCCATCCATTTTCTTCTTCTAGGCAAACATGCTGAAGACATATTTGGTGAGTTGTTTAATGAGGCCAACAACTTTTACATCAGAGCAAATTCTCTTCAAGACAGAATTGATCGCCTCGCTGTCAAAGTTACCCAGCTGGATTCAACAGTGGAAGAGGGTAGGTAATTGCATGAAAGCAGTGAGCCAGAAGTGATGCTGACAAGACGGTAGTAATTAATTACAGCACAATTACAGCTTTTCCTTAGAGTAGTAAGTTGATCATTCGTTTTGTCTTTTCCTAGGACATTCTGATAAGAAAAGAAATGTATAACATTGGGTTAATTAGGAAAGGAGTTAGAAAAAAGATATGTGTATGTGTGCATACATATATACATACATACATACACACATACATGTATCTTACTTATAACTCATCCTCGTGCCTGATTTATAAAAAAATTCTTGCTAATGAGAGCTTATACATGTCACCCGTTCCATCCAGAAATCTTACTTTATGCTATAAGTAATAGCCTCAACTACTGTTGCACCTGAAAACTTGTCCACATTATCTAGTCACTTTAGCCATAGGGACAGTAGGTGTCCTTTTGAGAAGAGTGACAGCAAGATTGAGAGAGAAAATTATGTGCATTATAGTACAGCAAACTGAAGGCTTCCTACTGATTCATATTTTGCCATTAATTCTTGTAAGTGTTTTAGGGTAAGTGTTTTGGTCACTTAGGGTCCCTCAAACTTCTTAAAGTGACATATATTGGGAGCTTTTAGACTTTGTATTTTTAAATAATGTTAATACTTGCAAGTGTTGTGCCATTACTAATGTTTTTATGTTGGATCGCAGTGACTGAAATTGTTTACTAGGGCAGTTGGCACAAAATTTAAAACAATCAACATCCCTTTATCTTTTTAAAAACAAAATTGCATTACTAGAGTATTTACTATAAAAGACTGTATTGAAAAAAAAACCCCAGCATCAGGAAAAGGACTTGTATTATTGCCTCAAATTTAATTTTATTAAAAAATATTTTATCCTAAGTTGTTTTTGCCTTTATATTGCTGGACTAATGGTATATGCAGCACTTTTCATTCATGTCAAATATTTATTGAACATTCATTTTATAGAGGACATTATTTTATTCATTAAAGAAACTAAAACAACTGATTAAAAAAACCAAACTTTACTTAAAAAAATAAAAATTTTTAAGTGGGATACAGTTTTTTTAAGACATTAGGGAATCCTTATGCACTCCCCATATGTGTACCTTTATGGAATCTTTTGCTCACATTGTCTTATAAAAGATCCTATGTCCTCTTCTCTCTGTCTTTAGTTTTGCTTAGCTCTTTTGTCAAGTAACATATAGTAAAGTTTAACTTTAAAAAGCTGTTTTTCATGGAATTCCATCTTTTGCATTTTATTTTATTTTTTAAATTCCTTTTACTATTTTTTATTGCTTTCTTTTGCTTTCAATGTCACCTGCATTTCCAAACATATGGCTCCATTTCTTTTCCCAAAGAGTCATCGTCTCTTACAAAGAATATAAAAGAGGAAAAAGAGAGTTCCTACCGGTACATGTTAAAAACAAATTTCTTCTCAATATCCAGTTTGCAAAATGGAATTTGATAGAAATGTATAACAATTAGTGCACTGACGTTTTAATTTTTCTCCTTAAGAAAAATACAGCTTTGAACATTAGAAAACTATAGAGTTCTTTTTTTCTGCCTTTTAAAATGACTAAATATTCTTTTAGAAGATAAAAATTTGGAGACTAATTTAGGACCTTCAGATGTCAATGGAGTAAAGGACTTTGATCTTAAGTTATACTATAATTGACTATTTAAATGGCTGGAAATCAAACTATTTTCATATGCATTGTTTCAAGTTCTTTGTTGTTATAATTAAAATGTTTCTGGTACAATAGATTTAAAACCACATGAAGGTAAATATATAGATCAGAATTTATAAAATACTGAGCTGAAGCTTATTTTAACAGCCCTGAACCCCCATTTTTAATCAGTTTGTAGATGGATTTATATCATAATGCTTTTATTGATCATTTTGTGATTCTGATAACTTCCAGTAGCTTTTTAATATAATTGGTGTAGTACTCCTGCCATCTCTCCTATTTTGTGCTTGAAGCAAAAAAAAATCCTGTGCATGTTACTAGTACAACCATAGTTCAATTATCTAAGTAAATATTGATTAATATTTGCTATTTGAATAGATTTATTCCATGGGAAACTGAATTTGGTAGGTGTACTGCTATTGTTCTAGAGACTAAAGGCTTCATACTTATTCCTCTATTTGTGTGCATGTGCATGTGTGTGTGTGTGTGTGTGTGTGTGTGTGTGTGTGTGTGTTGCTGGATAGAATCTCTGGCCATTTGTCTATTTCTACATCTCTTCATTGGTGTTAGTAAGAATATAAGCTTAATTCAAAAAAATCTATTGCTATTTTCTCTAAAAAAACACAACAAAAAAAAACATCAAAAACTATTACATACACATAAGCATCCATTCATATGTATTAAGGATATCTACAGAGTGAATGTGATTTGGCAGCCCATGTGCTATTTTTGAGAAAAAAGCATTTTATTTAAAGAAGGTACTTAATATGCCCTCACAAGCTGAAAAGGAAGTGCTTACTTTGGAGTCAATTCTGACTTAGTTCACACCTTGAGAGAGAGAGAGAGAGAGAGAGAGAGAGAGAGAGAGAGAGAGAGAGCTATGCTTGTCTAGGGGAAAGAAGATATAGTGTATACATAGTATACACTATATACATAAGGTTCTATATGGCTACCTGCAAAGACTGTTGGAATGCTGTCCTGGAAGGCCTTGTGATTGGTTTAAATGTGTAAGAACTGAATTTGACTTAGATTCTTAACAGTGAAAATAATGTATTCTCTGTTAACCAGACTTTTTTGGGTCTTTCAACAGTATCACTACAGGATATTAACATGAAGAAAGCGTTCAAAAGCTCTACAATACAAGACCAGCAGGTGGTTTCCAAGAACAGTATTCCCAATCCAGTTTCTGACATTTACAATCAGAGTGATAAGCCACCTCCCCTGAATATACTTACACCTTACAGGTATGGATTCATGTAGCCATAAGGTCTGATTTTATTTTTTCATTATAAATCTGGTTTTAGGCCATGGACAAGTATTATGGAAAGACTCATTTAACTGGATAGAAACTCTTCTTTGAGGAGAAATTCTTTTAGGTGACAATCTTCTAAATTCTTGGATTGTTGCAAAGGGACCAAAACAAGATGAAACTGAAAAGCCTTGAATTTTCTAGTCATCAGCATGCTTGTTAGCAAAAGAGTGAGCCCTGAATTTTTTTAATAGAAATAGTTCATTTGTCAATGATGGTGTATGGGCTTTGTGCTTACTATGTTCCAAGACTATGTAAAGGTAACTACATAATTCAGTTACCATACAGAAAACAATTGATCTGTTTCCACATTTCAATGCAGAGGCATTTATCATTCCAGACAGCACAGTATATTATGCAGTGTTACAGACTGTAGGGAGACAGTTTGATCAACAAGTTAACCCACCGTAATTATAGAGCAGTGCAACATACAATTTAAGCCAAACGCAAAATGAAACCCAAAGGAATTAATACTGCCTAACCACCCACTGCAAATGCATTCTTTCTTTTTCTTCTCATTTCCCCCTGTACAATGCAGCCATCTAGTCTAACCCATCTATTCCATTTTGTTGAACTAAATTGCCATAAGGGTCACTCCCTTGTTTAGAGGTACAGTAAAGTAAGATGTTGACTGAGTTAGACCTCTGCTGCGTAACATTCTGTGATTCTAGGAAATTAATTCCTACTGTGTACAGAACAGTTAGGCACTGGGAGAGATACAAAGTTCAGATAAGATACTATCAGTTCAATGCAGTGAACATTTATTAAGTGCCTGCTATATGCAAAATCTATAGTAAGCAGTGGGAACACAAAAATAAACAGTGCCATTGTCCATGTTCTCAAAGAGCTTACGTTTTACAGAAGGAGAATATGATATGTATACAGATTAAATAAAATAAAAGGTAGAAAATGTGTTGGGGCAGAGGAGAGATCTAGGCAAAGGACTCTAGGAAGGAAAATCAAGGAGGAAAGAGATGGAGGAGTAGGGAAGGGCGACTTCTTGGAGGAGGCAATACCTAGAGACTTGAAGGATGAGGAGAACTATTAATTAGCAGCAGCAGCAACAACAAAACCTTGGGAAACCCTCAGAGACCATGTGGGAGGTGGTATTATATTCTCTAGGAGGTACAGGGAAGAAGAGAAGCCCTGGCCATAAGGAATAGGGGCAAATAGTGGGAAGGGAAGCAACTTAGGAGATGGAACCCTCTAAATTAAAAAAAAGTGGGTGAGTAGAAAAGAAATCTTTCCTGGTAGATATGCATCTTCTGAGAGTTTATACCAACAGGAGGCCCTAGCTTCCCATAGCTCCTTAACAATATGACCCTCATCATTGGTTCTTTGGACTTGAGGATTTCAATGCCAACCAGATTGCCTGTAATGACCATTGTCTTATGTTAGCATCATTAGTCAGACATCCATCTTACAGCTTTTGTCCTTTGCTTTGACCCATTATTCCCTACTTCTTCTGAAGTCCCCTATTTATTTTCTGTGATTCTGTGAAATTAATTCCTACTCTGTACTATGTACAGAGCAGTCAGGCACTGGGAGAGATACAAAGTTCAGATAAGACACTATCAGTTCAATTCAGTGAACATTTATTAAATGCCTGCTGTGTGTGCAAAATCTATAGTAAGCAGTAGGAACACAAAAATAAACAGTGATATTGTCTAGGTTCTCAAATAGCTTACATTTTACAGAAGGTCATGGGGACTATTGTTAGTAATTTGCAGCTACTGAATCTTCATTTTCTATAAATGGGGGATATGAGTGGAAGGGGAAGTCTGATATAGGCTCATAGGATTTGGAACTGTGAGGAACATTGGGGATGCTTAGTCTATCTCCACTTTATGCACAAGGAAACTGAGGCCCAGAGAAGTGGGTAGCATTACTTGTTCAAGGTAGTAAATGGTAGAACCAAGATTCAAGCCTAGTACTCTCTCTACTCCACCCCAGGCTTCTTCTCCATGATACCCGAACAGATCTCCCTGTACCTAAAAACCTTCACTTGATCTGTTGTCCCCTCAAGTTATCATGCTATATTATCTCTTCCCTTTCACTGCCAAGCTCCAAAAAGAAAATCTGGGTAAATTTATGGCCTCTTACACTCATTTCAAGGTATCATCTTGCTCTCCTTTTCACAACAAAAATCCTAGAAAAGCTGCGGTTGCCTCCGCTTTTGAACCTTCTACTTCTTAACCTCATGCAGTCTGACTTCTTTTCCACCATTCAACTGACACCACTCTTCAGCACCAGTAATATTACTAAACTTAATAAATCAAATGGTCTTTTATTAATCTTCTTTCTTATCTGCTCAGTAGCTTTGAACATTGATCTCCATGTCAACCCCTAGACACTTTCTGTCTTCATTGTTGTGACACTGCTCCCTTTTACAGTCTCCTTTCCTGGATTATCATGCATGCCCCACCCCCTTTGTGTGGGTAGAGGTCAGCATTCTGTCCCAAATCCTTTGTTGTTCTCTAGATGATCTCAGTAGCTCCCAAAGCCACCTTTTTCCAGTCCTCATTCCACCACCATCCCCCTTTTAGCCACACACTTACACATCTTGCCTAATGGACATTTTTACCTGGATGTCCTATAGAATATTAAAAAAATAATTCCATAACAACTCATTTTTCCCTTCAAACTCTTAATAACCTCCCTTATTTCATAATCTCAGAGTGTCCTCCATTTCTCAACTCTCCTTCATTGCTCATATCGAATCACTTATTAAATTCTGTTGGTTCTACTGCCATCTTTCTCCTACCCTTTTCTCCACTTATATGATTACCACCGTAAGTGAGGCCCGCATCACTTTTTGCCAGCTTATTGTAATCATTTATTAATTGGTCTCCTTGACTCCAGCTTTTCCTCTCTCCTGTACATTTTCCGCACAACTGACAAATGGATATTCCTACAACTCAGACCTATATCACTCCCTTCTCAAGAAGTTTTAGTGTCTCCCTCTTGTCATCAGGATAGAAGACAAATTTCTCTACTTGGCCTTTAAGGCCTTTCACTGTGTGGCTCCAATCTGTTTTTCCAGACTGATCACACACATACCCCTTCTTGTTCATGCTGCATTACAGCCAAACTGGACTATTTGCTGTTCCCCTTAGACAGTGCTTTATATTTTTTCTTCCTTGCCTTTACTCAGGCCACCCTCCATGCTTGGAATACTCTTTCTCTTCATTCTACTTTGTGTAATCCCTGCCTTGCTTCAGAACACAGCTCAGGTGCTACTTTCTACATGAAGTCTTTCCTGATCCCCTCAGTTGTTAATGCCCTGCTTCTCACCTGTCTGCCATAATCACCTTCTATTTACTTAGAATATATTTTGTGCACATTTATCTGTATTCATGTTTTTCTTCCTTCCCCCTCATCCACTAGAATATAAGCTCCTTATGGGGAGAGACTGTCTTCTTTCTGTCTTTGTAAAACCAGTACCTAGCAGATGTTGAATAAATGCTTGTTGAATCAAATTTATAATGCTAGAAGGAGTCAGGAAATAGTTCTGAGTAGCATCCTGTGTTGGAAATTTGAGATGAATTGGGGCTACAGAATAAAAGTAGACATGTGTTTCCATTCTACACTGTGATCCCAATTCCAGGCTTGAGGAGTTGGCAGAGATACCAACACAAATGCTCCCCAGTAATATTTGAATATATTTTTAAATTTCTAGGTTTTGAGGAAATTTTTTTTATTTCTTTTCAACAATTTTCTGCATGTAACTGTGGAACCAAGAGAGTTTTGAAATGCTTTTGTTACCAAATTAGTTTAGCATATGTTGCTAAAATTACATATAAAAGTCGTAATTCCACAGATTTCTTCAGGTGGTTATTGAAATGAGACATTTAATAATATTTCTTGCTGTCAGTTTGTTAAATATTGTGGTTTAGTAAATTAGAATCAGAGTTTAAACCATTAGGCTTAAAAATGTACATAATCTCCCTTTTCTTTACTTCCATATTACTTTTATAGAGATGATAAGAAAGATGGATTGAAGTTTTATACTGATCCTTCCTATTTCTTTGATCTCTGGAAAGAGAAAATGCTACAGGATACAGAAGACAAAAGGAAAGAGAAAAGAAGACAAAAGGTAAACCATTCCAGAATAGAAAACATGTATATTCATGGGCTAATTTGAGTGTGATATCCAAACCAAACTGCTGAATCCTACTCTTTATTGAAATGATGGGTGGGTCAGACAGGGTGCTGAAATTTTTCCATTGGTTACATTTTTAAAGTGAAAATAATTGAGAATCACATGTGATTATCTTTCAGTAAATATTTTCAACTTTTTATTCCTTCTCACTTTCAATCAACCTGCTTCATTTAACAAGAGAAGATTCTCATAACTCAGTTTTTGTTTATAAGTTTGTGATTAAAATTCTCTGCCTATGGTTTTACTTACATCTCAGAAAAACTCCCATTTTTTCATTGCAGAAGAAGATGATCAACTTTAATTTTTTTAAATGTAGTTAATGGTTGGGCTCTCACTCATAAGCTCTATTTTTAAAAAATGGTATATTGTATGTATTAGAATGAAAAGCCAGTTTTATATTTATGTTTAGGAGGGATTAAGTACCATAAATGATGCTCTTCTAGGGGGATTGGTGGAGGGGAAGGGAGAGGAGATCATAAGAGGTACAGATACTATCTAAAACAGTCTCTGCAGAACATTACCTTCTCTATTGGAGATATGTTTCATTTGTGATTAAGAAAAGTTAAAGAACACTCCCTGAAAGTTTTTCTAGCATCCCAGAAGTTTATTTTTTTCCATTGGAAGACAATCTATTGTGCAGACTTCCTGGGAAGGACAATCCAGTCTGTATGGCAAATACCCAAAAGCTTTGGCTTAAAGCAGAGGTTCTTAACTTGTCCGTGAGTAGATTTCAGAGGGGAAGGAGCCTATGAACTTGGATGGGAAAAAAATTACATCTTTATTTTCTCTGACTCTTGGTTTCCTTTGTAATCTTATGTATTTTATTTTATGCATTTTAAAACATTTTGAGAAGGGGTTCACACAGGCGTCACTAGACCATCAAAGGACTTTATGACAGAAAAAAATTTATGAACCTCTGACTTAGAGAAATGTTTGGCATTTAGTAAGCCCAAAGGATTTTTTCAGTGATTTTTAGCATTTAAGTAACATAAACTACAAAGATCCTGGAGATAGGGCTCTGTTCAAAAGGAAAGGATTATTTTAATTATCTCTATTTTGTGTGTGTGTGTGTGTGTGTGTGTGTGTGTGTGTGTGTGGTTGAATTTGGGGAATTTATTAAGAGCAAAATCATCATGGGAAAGATATAGGATTCAGTAGTCATTGTCTATGTGAAGAAAAGATGGATATTACTCCCTTGAAAAGAAAGAGAAGCAAGGAAATATTTAATTGGCATGCTAGTGATACCTCCCTATACGTTTCTTATGAAATGTAGAAGCTGATTGAGACTTATAAGAGTGCTTTTCATTAAATATATAATTTACCTTTCATTGACCTTACAGATGCCTCTTACAGATGATCCAAACATGATGCTTTTGGCATAAATACATATATAATTATTTTTCTGTGCCTTCATGGAAAATCTGTAATTATCATATCTACAAAACTAGTAGCTCCTTCTAGATCTTTGATTTAATCCTGAATTCCCCAAATACTTGTAATTGTGGTGATAGCCTCATTCTGGTATCACATTATGTTAAGGTCAAATAGAACTTTTCTATAAAGTCACAATAGTTATTGTTTGATTCTGAAAGTAGGAATAAAGATTGTCCTATCTTTGGAAAGCTTAGACAGTAGAGCTGATCTTAGAGTTTATCTAGTCTAATTCCTTCATTTTATAGATGTGGACTCTGAGACTTAAGCAATGAAGGGAGTTTTCTAAGGTCACATAGGTAGTAAGTGGTAGAGTTAGGGGTGAATGTGAGTCTTAATGATTCCCAATCCAATGTGAACCACACACACATAGTGACTTTATTTCCATCTGTGTTTCTCTTTTGTATAAAATGTATCTCAATCCATCCATGTCTTTTTTCATCCTGAACCACTTATTGAAGTATAAAATCCATTTGTTTTCCATTGTGATGCAATAGTACCTCCACTGAAGTCTTTCTTGAATGACCTCTCTGTGGCATGGGAAGACCTTGGTTTCCCAAAAGTTAGTAGGGTGTAGGTATGGACAGATCATACTAAGCTAGGAAGGTTTTGATTGTGGGCTTTGCATCTGTCCAGCTTAGCTACAGTTGAGGGAGGCTAACAGCAGCTCTCCAAGACAATCTACCATAGTCTGTGATGGAGGAAGTACCCATGATGTCAAAAGCTTGGATTCTTTAAGATAAAATAATAGCAGAAAACCAACAAATTAGATTCACCAATGAAATAGGCTGCAGGCACTAACATCTCTATTACTGTTGTTGTTGAGTTGTTTCAGTAGTGTCTGACTCTTCATGACCCTCTTGGGGGCTTTCTTGGCAAAGATACTGGAGGAGTGTGCCATTTCTTTCTCCAGATCATTTTACAGATGAGGAAATTGAGACAAACAGGGCTAAGTGACTTGCCCAGGGTCACATAGACAGTAATTGTCTGAGGCCAGATTTGAACTCAGGTCTTCCTGACTTCAGGCCCAGCACTCTATCCACTGTACTTTTTTAGCTGGCCAACAGTTCTATACTTCAGCTTAGTAATTTCATGATGGTTTGAATCAACCATATAATCAGCCATCAGCCATCTGGAAAGGATAGATACAGCACAGGGTCCCTAGGGTGATGATTTCCAACTACATTGCTGTCATAGCCCCTAACTGCTGTTAGCTTGATTCTTTAGTACTTTATCCCACCTGAAATCGTTGCATGATGCATCTAGCTCCAAAATAAAGAAAATGAAAGTGAATTCTATGCTTAATTGTAATTTTTTAGAAGTTATGATACTATTTGAAATAATTAGAGACATTTAGGGATGTCTCAAAATCAGGGCTGGGAACCATTGGTCTTGGGACCTGCTCTTCTGGATCCTCACTGTAATTTTGTGGAGAGACAATATGATGAAGGTGAAAAGATCATTGGGCTCAGAAGACCTGGATTCAAATCGTTTCTCTCCCACTTGCTGCCTTTTGTGTCACTTCGTATCTTAGAGCCTCACTTTCCCCATTTGCAAAATGGAGATAAAACACCTGCATAATCTACCTGCCTTTCTGACAGACCTGTCAGAAACACCCTTTATAAATCTTAACCTTAATTTGCAATAGAGAGTTGTTACTATTGCTTGGTCTTGCTTGTGGTACTTATTATGTGTTGTCTCTGCAGTTGATAAGTCTAAATGAGTTGAAAAAGAGTTGAATGCCTCACATTCAGAATGATGAAGTTGAAAATTTAAGTCCCACAGAAGGAGAAAATTCAGGCCTTGTCTTTAAGAGACATAGCATTTTATGGGTTATGTAGGAAAAATGAATATAACAGGAATAAATAGCTACTACTCTCTAGAGATATCTATGTTAAGTCCTAAGTGTTTACTGATGAGGTTATACTGTTGTGCCTGTCAGTGGTGGGGCCATGTTCTCGATTTTTATATAGGGCCAAAGGGCTGGAGCAAAAGTAAGTGTTTCACTAATGGGGCAGGTAAGTTTTCTGTTTTTCTACTTAACCATTAGCAAAATTGGCTTAATATGATTTGGAATACCTCTTGGAAACTGAGAACAAAGGTTATTTATTTTGGAAGAAAAATATTTTGCCATGCAGATATTCTATATCAAGACTTTTTTTTTAAAAAAAAAATGTGCAGTGGTAGAAAACTATTTCCTGATCATACCTTGTCAGATGTTTTTATCTGGGCGGTAGAGAGCAGCTAAAGAGCAGTTTTCCTTATCTAGAGTCATAACATGAAGAGAGAAATATAGACTGCTTTCTCTTGGTTCCATAGCATATGCTGGTTAGAGTTAGCCTTCTTCAGAAATTTCTTTACAGTTAGGGTATGGCTTCTATTTGCATATCAGGTTTATATTTCTGTTCATTTTAACTGCATTTAACCTGCTGTTTTCCCTTTCCCTTCTGTCTTGGCATGCTTCCTTTCTTTTCCTGGACATCAGGAGCAAAAGCGTGTAGATGGCACAACTCGTGAGGTGAAAAAGGTTAGAAAAGCCAGGAACAGGCGCCAGGAGTGGAATATGATGGCATATGACAAAGAGCTTAGACCTGACAACAGGTTGTCTCAAAGTGTGTACCATGGAGCGTCTTCCGAGGGATCCCTGTCCCCAGATACTAGGTCTGTGTGTATTAAAGCTCCCTTATCCCCATGTGATGGTTATGCATGAGGCATTTCTTGGTATTTTCTTTTTTTTAATAATATAGGCAATGCGTTAGGTATTTGTTGCTGTGTTTTTTTTTTTTTTAAATAATTCGGAAATGCAGCAATAGCTTTAGTTCTCAAAGGTCTGGAATGTATCTTAGGACTCTCTTAAGCTATGCATTGAAAATATTCTGTTGAAGTTATAAGCTTTTTTGTGTATTGTTTTTCTTTGTATGATTTAAAACCCCTTTGACTTGAATTTGTTATTTAGTTGAGCTACTAATGTTGAATTTAGCTCTGTTAATTTAGAAGATATTTCAATTTCAATTTAATTAACTGTAATGATGCTTTCATTTTTAGCTTGGCATGCTGAATTGCTATTGATATACAGTGTCTGAAAATGATTGGTAGCTACTATTAATAGAATAATTAATAGAATAGCTCCATTGTTCTGTTTGAAAATCTCACTAAGAGTAATGGAAGAAAATGTGTGTCTGTTTCTGCCCTTCAAATGACTAATCTCATGTACTCTAATTTACAGGAAAAAATCATCATTGGAGTTTACTTTAGTGAACTGTTAGCTGCTCAATTAAAATGTTTCTTCAACAGGTCTAAATGCATGGCCACTAAGTGGCAATTGCAGTTCATTGTATACAATGAGTCCAGTGGAGCTAACTTGATAACTTTTAATTTTGTTTATTTTATTTTTCTGCCTTCTAACTTAAAATCTTCTATTGGGAAAAACAAAATTTTATGCGAAGTCTTTTATCAGCATATACAATAAGAAAAGACATCTCCTATAGCTCTTAAGGCATATT